TGCAGCTTTCATGAGCAGAGGGGTTATTTTTAAATACCGCCATGGCACAGTGTCTCCTTCCTTGGTGATGCTGCAGGATATTTTACCTGTGTAGAAGGGCACTGACGTTACTCTTGATAGCTCTTTTTATTGAACTATGGAGAAAGAACTTGACCGAAAAAAGCAACTGAAGGCTAAGAATTCTAGAATCCTCTTACCAGCAATGGGAACCCAAAGGAAAATGTATTCCTGGGGAATATACCTCTGGAAAGATGCCCTATGAAATGATGTCTAAGCGAACTCCAGGTTATCTTTCTCTTTTGCGAGCACCTTTAATGCCGGAATATCACGTTCACTGACTGGGCCACGTTGAGGCCTGCACGTCCCCTTTACCTTGGTGTCCTCATGAATTCGCTAAGGTGCTTTTCAGTACATGGCATGAAGGAGCAGAGAGGGGGTGGCTAGATATTCCTCAAACACAGGTGCGTTCTCACACAAGGTGGGCAGTGTCTCAAGGAGCCCCTGTTCCTAGAATCATTAAAGTTAGGACATTGGAAGTGTTAGCACTGCTGTCCTTAATACATTTCCTTAAGGGGATGGGGGCCTTGGGGGATGGGAACAAGTCCGTGTGTTATGGACCATTTCTAGAATGTTCTGGGAGATGGTGGTGATTCAACCCCATTGGTGTAAAAATATTAATCTCCCTCCATAGCAGCTGTTGCCAAAACAGAACTCTCTAGAAGGTTCCTTCCTAGTGGATCTGTGGGGTTCTGACTTCTGGGTCCCAAAGGACACCATAGGCTGTCCAGTAACGAGGTAAGTTGAGTCGTGGTCCTTGTTTGGCAGAAGTGGAAACTGATACATTTATTTTTTCCTTCATCACTTACCTAATCTTCCAACAACAATTAGAATTTTCCTAGACTTCTGTTTTACATTCAGTACTCTCTCTCTCTCTCTCTGTGTCCCTCTGTCTCTTTCTCCGTTCCTCTGGGTATCAGGACCTTCTGTGGAGGCAAGGAAGTGCATTTGCGAAAGAGGAGCTAGAAAAGCCAACCCGATTTGGTACAACAGGAGAGGGAATTGGTCCCAGGCTGTCACCAATCTGAGAGCTCGCTGGACCAGCTGTAACTCTGCTGAAGGTCTGAATTTAGGGAAATGTGTAATCCACGGACTTCCTTAGAGAAAAATGCTCACTGTAGGGGAGAACCTGCTTCCTCCTGTCCATACCCAGCCTCTGCGATGCTGGGAGAAGGGCCACTCCAGCAGGTGGGGGTGGCAGGAGGTGGAAAGGGGTGGCAGACAATTGGCCTTCAGCAGACTGTCAGCCCAGAGCGAAGTGCTTCTGCTTTGCAGCCAGAAGCCATGATTCATTTGCTTTTCATTTTGACGTTAGCATTTTTCTCGTGACTCATTGTTAATTTCATATGGAATTTCAGAGGCTGAAACAGTTATTTAATACTTTTTAGGAATTAAAACATTCACCAGGTGGAATACACTTTTCTGCTCTGAAACAGGTGAACAAATGCTTCATTAAAATAATTAAAAGAAAAAGGACAAGGAGGCATTTGTCCTACCCCTGTGCCCCCACCCCAGCTCATCTTCTCACTAATGCTGACCAAGAGTTAGGCAGCCTGTTTCATCTTAATGTTTCTCTTATCTTGAATTCCTTTCACCACGATGTGGGATGTTACTGTAGGTATTTTTAAAAAGATGCTTCTTTATCAAGTTGGAGAAATTCCCCCACTGTGTTTTGAGGGTTTTTCACATGCATTTGATGCTTCAATTGCTGTGATCATATGATGTTTTTCCTTTGGTCTGTTAATGTGGTAGATGACATTGATTGATTTTCAAATATTCAGCCAGGCTTGCATCAATGCAATAATCCCTTCTTGGTGAAATACTTTTATACATTGCTGAATTCTCTCTCTTAATATATTATTAAGGATGTGTGCGTCCATATTCACTAGGAATATTGGTCTGCAGTTTTTCATTTTTGGTTCCAGTTTTTCTGATTTCATTATAAGGGTAATACTGGCTTCACAGAATGATTTAGGAAGTATTCCCTCTTTTTGAGTTTTCTAGAGGAGATTGTATAAAATTAGCATCAATTCTTCTTTGAGCAGTTGGTTGAATTCTTCAGTGAAACCATCTGGGTTGAAGATTTCCTTTTTGGAGAAGTTTTTAATTATGAATTCAATTTCAATTTCTAAATAATTATAAAGCTAGTCACATGATCTAATTTACATATTTGTGATCCATGCTAGTTTATGCTTCTCAAGGAATCGGTCCACTTAAGTTGTCAACTTTATGTGTAGGGTTGTTTGTAATACTCCTTAATTATCCTTTTGATGTCTGCCGGGTCTGCAGTGATGGCTTCTGCTTCCAGAATTGTGTCTTCTCTTTTTTATTTTTTTGTTAATCTTGCTAGAGATTTGTAGAGTTTATTGATCTTTTCAAAGAACCAAACTTTGTTCATTGATTCTCCTTTTTATTTTTCTTTCTATTTTCAAGTTCATTAATTTCTGCTCTTTGTTATGTCTTTCCTTCTTCTTATTTGGGTTTTTGTTCTTCATTTTCTGTGCTCTTGAGGTGAGAACTTAGTTCATTGATTTGAGACATTTCTTCTTTCTTCACATAAGCACCCAGTGCTACAAATTTCCCTCTCAACTCTGCTTTATCTGCATCTCACAAATTTTGACATGTTGTACTTTAATTTGCATTTTTGTTTTCAATGAGATCTCCTTTTCGACCCTTGGATTGTTTAGAAGTGTGCTGTTTAGTTCCCAAGTGTTTGAATATTTTCTTTTTACCTTTCTACTACTGATTTCTAGCTTGATTGCAGCATGGTCATAGAACACTCTATTTGATTTCACATGTTATACATTTGTTGGTATTTGTTCTATTGCCAAGGTTTGGTCTATCTTGGTATTTGCTATGTAGGTACTTGAAGAAAATGTGAATTTTGCTGTTGTTGTGTGGAGTGTTCCATGATCTTTAGATCTTAAATACCTTGTTGTTGATGGTGGTGTTGAATTCTTCTCTACCTTCGACTTCCTGTCTAGTTTTTCTAGAATTATTGAGAGAGGGGTGTTGAAATAGTCAACTATAATTGTGGATTTGTCAATTTTTCCTTTCAAGTCTATCAATTTTTGCTTCATGTATAAATCATATGCAAAAATATATTACATCATGTATCTTTTTCCATCCCAAACTAACATGAAGTCTGACCTCCCTGAATGTCTCTTTACTCATCCCCACTTATAATACAGATATTCTAAATATTTCCTCTACATTCATTGACGATCACATTAGACAGTGCTATGCTATGTTCTTCAATTATCAAACATAGTTCAGAAAAGTCAAGAGGAGAAGGAAAGTCTATTGTGTTTAACCCAGATATTTGCTCTTTCTATGGAGTTTTTTTCCTTACTGATGTTCCAAGAGTCCTTGTATCATTTCCCTTCTATTTACAGCATTGGCTGGGGAGGGGGCTTTGCACTCCTCCTGGGGCACCCCCTGCCCACAGGGAGGGGATGGGAAGATCCCCATTGGCCTTGGCAATGGCTGCAACTCCACCAGAGGCAGGGCAGCCAGGCCAGCGCTCACCCTGCACCTGTGAGCAACCTGCCCTCTTCTTCAGCAGTTCTTTTAAAGGAGGTCTGCTGGCAACACATTTTTAGTTTTTCTTCATCTGAGACTGTCTAAAGTTTCCCCTTTATTCTTGTGGGATATTTTCCCTGGGTATAGGATTCTGGGTTGAGAGTTCTTTTCTTTCAGCACTTAAAAAGTATTTTGACCCTTTCTTGTGGCTTCCATAGTTCCTGGTGAAAAACACACTGCCGTTTGATTTGCTTTTCCCCTGTAAGTGATGCACCGTTTCTCTCTGGCTGCTTTCAAGATTTTGTCTTTAGTTTTCAGAAGTTCGACTATGATGTGTCTTGGAATAGATTTTTTTTTTTGGCTTTTCTTTCTGTTTGAGGTTTGTTCAGCTTCTTGAATCTGTTGGACCCCATCAAACTTGCTTGTTTTTTTTTTTTTTGCCAAATTTAGGGAATATTTTTGCCATTATTTGTTTGGATAGTTTTTCAGCCTCATCCTCTTTCTCCCTTCCTTCTAGAACTTTGACAACAGGGTCTTTGGTTATAGTTCCACATATCCCTGAGACTACTCATTGCTTCCAGTCTATTTTCTCTCCATCGTTTGGACTGGGTCATTTCTATTGTCCTATTCAAGTTCATTGATTCTTTCCTCTGCCTTGTTCCTTCTGTTGTTGAGTTTTTCATATCAGTTATTTTTGTTTTTCAGTTCTCTAACTTCCACTTGTTTTTTCCTCACGTCTTCTATTTCTTTGCTGAGATTTTCTATTTAATCATTTATTGAAGGTATGTTTATCAGTGTTTATTGGGCAGTCTTATTGTGGTTGTTTTAAAATCTTTGTCAGGTAATTCTAACATCTGTATCATCTTGGGGCAGCACCTGACGGTTCCCTTCCCATTTCATTTGAGTTTCTCCTGGTTATTGGTATAGTAAGTGATAATTTTTTTATCGAAACACAGATAGTTTGGGTATTATAAGATTCTAGATCTTATTTAAATCTCGTGTTGTAGCAGGCCTCCCCTGATGGTGCCCTGGTAGGTGAAGGTGTGGGGTGCCACCACCTTACTGACATGTGAGATTGGAAGTCCATGTTCCCCACTCTGCCTCCGCTGACACCCAAGGGGGGAGGACCTCCTTGTTACTGCTGGATGGGGTGGGATTTCATGGTCCCCATGTGGCTTCCGCTGACATGGTGGGTTGGTTCTTGTTACTATTGAATATTGGTGCAAATCTTGACTGTCCATGAGGCTTCCTCAGACAAACCCTGGGGGAGAGAAGGGTGGAGCAGCTCATTTCAACCTGCCAAGGGTGAATGTCTGGGCTCTCCACTTGGCCTTTGCTGGTAGAGGTAGGGGATGGACTGCAATCTTTTCTTTTTTTCCTATGCTGCTTGGCTGAAATAGACTGATTGTTATCTGAAAGTTCGGGTTTTTTGGGTTTATATGTATATATTTTTAACCTTTCTAGATTACCCCTTTCCTTGTTCTTCTGCCAGAGAGAATAGGCTTTCCTTTGGGTTTTTTTTTTTTTTTCATCTATGACCATTGATGCTGGTGGGGTACCACTTCTCCAGTCTCCAGTCTGGGATATATGATGTGCAAAGAAACCTCAGGGAACTCACCACCTATGTTCTTCAGATCCCAAGGTCCCCTGACCTGCCTTCCTTTTACCACCTTTCAGATCTTCTTATGTTTGTTTTTAGCTTAGTTGTTTTTACTTGAACTTCGCAGGAGGAGTGGGGAGAAGTATGTCTGCTCCATCCTCCTGGAAACAGAAACCCCAGCAGGTAGGCATCATTCAATCTCTGAATGCACTTACGAATTTGCAGATCAAAGGTGAAACACTATTTCAGTTTTCTGGAGGGAAAAATTGAGACACTTAGAGGTAATTTACCTGATCAAAGTTGCTTAGAAATGTGGCCTTGGCTTGAAGTAAAACCTTGGAATTTTAAACAGTTATTATTTTGCTTTTCCTTTTCTTTCTCTGTTTGTTAGAAAGAAAAACACTGGGAGTAAGGGTGGTAGGGTTGGGGAGGAAGTAGCAGTTACCAAGGGGAAGACTAAGGGATTACTGTTTGGCTTGGAAGCAGCAACTGTTTAAAATCACAAAGCTAGGATTTTTCAGGGGGATTTTATTGAACTTTGAAATGTTGTTAATTTTGACAGATTGACTACCTGATCTTCAGTTACTCATTTATGTCTCATCTTAGAAATGAATGACTTCGATTATTCATACTGTGTCCTGCAGCTTAAGAGACATTTAGTAACCACTGCCGCTTCCTTGATTAAAGATTTGCATAGAAATGGGAAGGATGTGGAAAATCTTCATCACTTTGCAGTGATGAAAGTTTGTAATACTTTCTTCTGAACACTCCTGGTTCTGCAAATTCTCTAGATTGCTTGGTATTTCAAAAAAGATTTGGGACTACTCTGTTAAACCATTATCTAGAGTTCTTGAGACACTGAAAAGGCAATGATGAACTCAGAGAATTAACTTTCCTAAGCAACGCTTCCTAATTTGAATATATTTCCTAAGAGATACAGCATTCACAAGCCCTCTTTCCCCATTGTAGTTCTGACCACTAACACCGTTCTTCAAAACTTTTTGGGGGGGGGTGGTAATTAAGGTTATTTAATTATTTACTTTAGTGGAGGTACTGAGGATTGAACCCAGGACCTCGTGCATGCTAAGCATATGCTCTACCACTGAGCTATACCCTCCCCTCTTCTTCAAAACTTCTTGAGTCTAAAATCAAGAGGGGATGAGAGATGGGAAAGACCTTTCAGGAACAGTGAACTGGCCTATTCACTTGGTCCTTTTGTAGCCATCTTGGTTCATCCAGTACTTATGAGTTCAGACTGGCATGTATGGCAGGAATTGAGGGAGGACAAAACTGCGTACATTCTTCAAAAGAATACGGGGCCCAGCAGAGGGTGGTTGGCAGGGAAGAATGAGGGAAAGGTAGAGTTATTCCTATGGAAAATTCTCTTTGCTTCCATGAATATCAAAAGTCATCACAGTTCTGATTTTACCCAGCGATTTGGGGGTCCCACTTCCGGTACTTACTGTTCTGGAATCTTCTAGAATGCCTGTCTTTGAGCTTTCTCCTAATCCTCCCACCGAACTTGGTGGGGAAAATGTCTCTTGGAAGGCAACAGTTTCTAGGCTTTTGTGGACATTTTAGCTGCAGAGTTTTTGTTTTTTTCCTAAGTTGTTCATGGTGTGTTCTGGCCACTCAGCTACATCACTGGCGGCACTGATGCTTTCAAAGTTGTCTCAGGTGGCGAAACACACTCTTGTGACTTTCATCACCAGGGAAAGAGCAATAGGTCTTGCTCCATGGGCTTCCTTTATGTGAAGCACACGTCACTTTCTGCTTGGAGAAAGGAAAGATGGGTGAGAATGCTTGTCTCCTGCTTTCTCTGTTCTTCTTCTGAAGTATCCTTCTCTCATAAAAAAAGGCAGCCACACATAAACTTCCTGGCCAGAGAGGAATATTCTGTCCTGTGAGCTTGGCCAGAGGCAGGTTTGGAGTTTAGGGGCAACTGAGAAATCTCAGTTACTAGTTTGCATTTGCTTCCATAAGGCTAATTGTCATCTCCAGAAATCGGGCCCCAGAAGGAATAAATGTATTTCTGCCTGATAAGAGAAGGGGGATGGAAAAATGAGGGCTGGGAATTAGCCCTGTCACAGGAACTCACTGAGACTCTGACAGCCATCTGAGGTCTGCTATCCAGCAGATAAATAGCTGGGAGGGCGGGGGTGGGGGTTTTTCCACGAAGACTTTACACTGGCATTGACTGCTGTGAGATTGGCTTTTAGTCCTTCTAACTTCAAAAATGTTGCTTCTTTAAGGCATTAGAATTGGCAAATGCCAGGGGTCACATGTCTGAGTATTTTTTTTTTAATGTTTTAAAGTCTTCCATTTGAAGTTTTTCTTTTGGAGATAACAGTTTCTCTCAAGAGCCATCAATCTGGGGGTGAATGTGTGGAATTCAGAAAGGCATCTAACCAAGTGTCTTCACTCCCTCTCCAGAATGCAGAGCCATTGCTGAGTGCTGCAAAGGGCAAGACACATTTAGAAAGATGCAAACATACTTCAGAAAAACTTCTTAAAAAGAATTACAAGTCCTTTCAAATCTAAATCGTGTGCTCTTGTATTGTCTAATGAATCAGGAGGTACTGTGTTAACAAAAGAATATCTCATTTCAACATTCGTTTTAGTATTTAGTCTAAATTTGGATAATTTGTGTCATTTCCCCATACTATTTACCCTTGTTCTATACCAGAAGGCATAACAAAAGGTTTGCAAAGAGACTGGCCAAGATGGCAGAGTAGAAAGGCCATAAGCTCATCTCTCCTGAGCACACAAACATCACAACCATCTGCGAAGCAACCATTGGCAAAATGATTGGAATCTACCAGAAAAGATTTTCTACAACGAAAGACAAAGAAGGAACCACAGCAAGATGGGCTGGAGAGGCTGACTCGTGTATCAAGCCCTGTACCCCTTGGATGGGTGACTGACAAACTGGAGAATTATACTGCAGAGAATAATAATGTTCTCCCACAGGAGTGAGAATTCTAAGCCTGGGGATTCTGCACCGGGAAGAACATTTGGCTTGGAAGGCCAGCGGGGCTTCATTTCAGGAGTCCCAAAGGACTCGAGTATTAGAGACTTGACTCTTAAAGGGCACACACAAAATCTCATGCTTACCAGGACCCAAGGCAAAAGGGGTAATTTGATAGGAAACTGGGCCAGACCTACCTGCTGGTCTTAGAGAGTCTCTCAGAGACACCGCGGTTGGGGTGGGTGTTGGACTGTGGCTGTGACTTTCTCTGAGGACATAGACACTGGTGACAGACATCTTTGGGAGCCATCCTTGGATCCTCCCTCTAGCTCATTAGACTCGGCCCCACCCAACAGCCTGTAGGCTCCAGTGTTGGGATGCCTCAGGCCAGACAGCTAACTGGCAGGGACACAGAACTGTCCAAGAGCGGACAGGCTGTCTAAAGACTTCCTAAGCCCACGTCCACCTCTAGACACACCCCTAGACCCAGCTCCACCCACCAGTGGGCTGGCACTGGCCCTGCTCTCCAGGAAGCCTACACTGGCCTCTATGCCAGCTTTACCCACCAGGGGACAGATGGCAGATGCAAGAGAGCTACAGTCCTGCATCCTGTGTACTCAGACCACACACAGAAGACCAACCCCTACCCTGGGATCAACCGGGCCCCAGCCCTGCCCACTAGCAGGCCAACACAAGCTTCAGGACCCCTCGAACCCCGTACCCAACTGTGTCAGGAAGGGTACTCCCCCCACCAGTGATGATTTGACACCAGCCCTAGGACCCTTGGGCCATGCAGCCAGACTCCAGGAAACAGCTCTGCCAGCCAGTGGTCCAGCACTAATCCCAGGACCTGGCTTCACCCACCAGTGGGTGGACAACAGCCCTGGAATCTTCTGGACACTGACCCCACCCACCAGTGAGCCAGCACTAGCCCCACGGCCCCCTAGTGTTCTGCAATTAGCAGCCACATGACCAGGCTTTCCTAACCAGCAGCCAGAAGCATCCGCGTAAGTTAGGGCCCGGCAACCCAACTGGGCTAGGGTCCAACCATGCCTACCAGACCACCCACATAGTCAGCCCACCACAGCACAAAGCTTTCTTAGGGGGAACCTCTAGAGCACGTAGTTTGGGGTTATGAGAGGAGAGTGCACAGCTGGGACACATAGGACGTCTCCTACAGAAGGCCACTTTCCTTATCCTTCTCAAACTATTACAGAAAATTGCAGAGAAGGGAACATTTCCAAACTCATTCTACAAGGCCAACATCACCCTGATACCAAAGCCAGACATATCACAAAAAAATAAAATTACAAGCCAGTATCACTGATGAATATAGATGCAAAAACCCTCAGCAAAATATTAGCAAACCAAATCCAACAATACATTTTAAAAAATCATACACCGTGATCAAGTGGGATTTATCTCAGGGATGCAAGGATTTTTCAAAGTCTGCAAATCAATCAGTACGATATACCACGTCAACAAATTGAAAAATAAAAGCCATATGATTAAATAGATGCAGAAAAAGCTTTTGACAAAATTCAACACCCATTTACAGTAAAACTCTCCAGAAAGTGGGCATGGAACACACCTCAAAAGAATAATGGCCATTTATGACAAACCCACAGCTAACTTATACTCAATGGTGAAAAGCTGAAAACATTTCCTGTAAGATTAGGAATAGGGAAAAGAATCACACTCTTGCCACTTTTCTGCAACATAGTTTTGGAAATCCTAGCCACAGCAATCAGAGAAGAAAAAGAATTAAAAGGAATCCCAAGGAAGAGGCAAAACTGTCACTGTTTGCAGATGACATGATACCAAACATAGAAAATCCTAAGGACACCATCAGAAAACTACTAGAGCTCACCAATGAATTTAGTGAAGTTGCAGGATACAAAATTAATGTACAGAAATCTGTTGCATTTCTGTACACTAACAGCACACTATCAGAAAGAGAAATTAAAGAAACAATCCATTTTCTATTACATAAAAAAAAAACCTAGGAATAAACCTACCTGAGGAGGTAAAAGACCTGTACCTAGACAACTATGACACTGATGAAATAAACTGAAGACACAAACAGATGGAAATATATACTGCATTCTTGGATTGGAAGAATTAATGTTAAAATGACCATACTTCTCAAGGCAATCTACAGATTCAGTGCAATCCCTGCCAAAATACCAATGGCATTTTTTCACTGAACTAGAGCAAATATTTAAAAACAAACAAACAAACAAATTAAAAAGAACCCTATTATTGAGAACCCACAGTTCAAGAGAACAAATACTTTCAACTTTGTGTGGAAAAGATAAGACCCTGAATAGCCAAGACAATCTTGAGGAAAAACAGAGCTTGAGGAATCACACTCCTTGACTTTAGGTTATACTACAAAGCTACAGTAGTCAAAACAGAATGGTACTGACACAAAATCAGACACGTAGATCAATGCAACAGAACTGAGAGGCCAGAATAAATTCACACACTTAATGGTCAGTCAACAGACAACAAAGGAGGCAAGAATGTAGAATTGGGAAAAGACAAGTCTGTTTGATACATGGTGCTGGGAAAACTGGACAGCTATATGTAAAAGAATGAAATTAGAACATCTGCTAACACCATATACAAAAATAAACTCAAAATGGGTTAAAGACCTAAATGTAAGATTGTATACTATGAAATTCCTAGAGGAATGCACAGGCAGAACACTCTTTGACATAAATCACAGCAATGTTTTTTTAGATCCATCCTCTACAGTCATGGAAGTAAAAGCAAAAATAAACAAATGAGACCTAATTAAACTCAAAAGCTTTTGCACAGCAAAGGAAACCATAAATGAAATGAAAAGACAATCTACAGAATGCCAGAAAATATTTGCAAATAACGTGACTGACAAGGGACTAATTTCTGCTATGTGCTCCAGGTATGATTCTTGAACTTGCTGCAGCCTGATGATGAAGGTGAGGATGGGCAGGGGCAAGAGTGACAGAGGAACATGGCCTGATTGAATCATCCCTGATCCTCACCCTGCCCTTGTCAGTTATCAGAGCTGTATATCCCCTAACATCCAAACTGATTCACCTGGAGAGGATATTTCCTCTAGCCTTTGTGGAAGGCTCATATATCAGAAAACAACATACACCAGAGTGGGTAAATTTGGCAACACGTCAGTCTGTGAAGAACCCTCAGTGCCACCTGTCAAAGGGGATAAATGAGACATAGTTTTGGGAATCTCTGGGCTTGGGACCAATTTGAGAGGCAAGGTGGAGGAGTGAAACTGCATATTTTGCTGATAGAGATGAGAGAACTGTGAGTCATGGAGATATGCAGATGTTTAGGGTTGTTGTGAAAGAGAGGGGGGAGAAGCCCTTGTTTTCCTGAAACGGGTTCTATGAGGTGGCCTTAGGCAGAATCAGTCTTCTGTGCTCCCTGCCTGCTTCTTGTTACCCTCAGGTATTCTCACCTTGTTTCTTCTGCCATCCAAAGCAAATTAATGGCCTTCAGTGGCCTTCTGTTTAGTGCCCCCCACCTTTTTAATCATTTTCTTATTTCCCCTCCTACCTCATCCCATTACACCCCCCATCCCCCATTATGGGATTGTGAGGCTGTAACGGGCGCTGGTTTTTGTTTTAAGAAGGGCTTTCTTAGCTTGATTTATCCTAGCATCAATGTAGCAAAGGGGAGAGAGGTCTAGTGGGGAGTCCCACCTTTATGCACACAGCCATCTCCACTGCCAACAGAGGACTGTCCCTGGAGATGTGAAATAATTATTTCTACCACCATATATGGAGCATTTAAGTGCCATACTCTGTGTTGTGAACTTGAAATGCCATATCTGTTTCATTCCTCTTGGCTGTCAAAGCAATATATGATTTTGTACTCATTTTTTTTTTCAGATGAAGAAGTTGAAGCCTAGAATGATTAAGGATTCTTACCCACAGTTACTGTAGGTTTTGATTATGTGAGCATGTCAAAGGGCTATGGGTGCCTGGGTCTAGTGACACATCTGCATCTTCTGAGTGTGTGCTGAGCCAAGTGCAGGCTCCCCAGTAGGTCTATCAAGGGAGCGGCTCTGGGTGTTTCGGTGCAGGAGACTTGTTTCACTTTCATTGTTACTGAGGGCCTTTAAGCCTTTTTCAGCCATGTTTTGTTGTTTTCATCTGCAATGCAGATATTAGACCTAGAAAATGGACTTCTTTTTTGACAGCTGAGGAATTGAAGGCTCAGCTAGGTGAGACAAGGCACTAGAATTTGCAGCTCATAGGCAGCAACATCAGAATAGGAACCCAGCTATCTTAATCCCCAGATGAAGGTATTTTTTTTGAGTATTCCTTTGTGATGCCACTTAATCAAAATGTCCAAACTCCAGGTTAATTGTTGATTTTTATTTTATTTTGTAATAAAGTGGCATTTTCTAGATTTCTTCCCCTCAGTAATCTCTTTTCTGGGATTCCAAAGATACACAACTTTATTTTAGAGGGCACGGCTTCCAGATAGAAGTGGTGGGCATGGGAAACCTTCACAGAAATCAGTAATATAAAAGAGCAAAACTGCAAAAACAACCATTTAGA